GGGGGGGCAATATTTTGAAATTACTGGATTAGCTACCAGCCTTCGGATAAAGGTAGCTCTTTTACTAGTTAGGGAGAAGCAGCAGGAGCCAAAGTTTTAATATTTTCATCTTCTCTTCAAAACGTACCAAGAAGCCTTTTTCTTACAAGTTTCCTCCCGCCAGAAAGTTCAAATAAAGAGCGGTCAAGTCCCTCCTTTGCTCTTCCGTTTAAGGGCTGAACACGAGGTGACGGACCGTAGCTTTTAGCCAATTGTAGGAGACCTCGAGCACGGTCCCGCCTAGCAGTTTGAGAATGATTAGCCAATGAGAGTGCCGCTCTTTCAGTCAGAGGCAACCAAAGGAAGAAGAAGAGAGACTATTGGTCGACGGCAGGGACTGCTGCCCAATAGGAGCAAGCCGAGACCACGACTTAGGAGGACGGCTTGAGCTGCAGAGGAAGAGCGGTTGGAATCGGGAGTGAGAAGCGACTTCTGCTGAAGAAACAAATTGCGGCGGGCTCGCGAGCCCGACCGTGTCTTTCTGGCTTCAGGTGAGGAGGGCGCTCACCTCTCCCCAGGCCTTGCGCTTCTGGCTCCGGGATAGTTTCCTGGGCTTGGTCCCTGGACGCGGTACCTAGGGACGCCCCGCTGGAATCCCGCGACCTGAGGAGGTTCCACCGCTCTGGGCGACCCTAACTGTCAAGGCTGAGGCGGCCGAACCCCGGCTGTTTCGGGGTTTCTGAGGAGCCCGAGGTCGGGGGTGGGGGGCGGGGAAGACAGGAAGTTCGAGCGATCCCGGAAGTTGCCGAATTCGGTGAGTTCGCTGCAGGCGGGAGTCGCGAGCTTCCCCAGGGGGTCTCCCGGGAGCCGCTCCTAAACTCTTCATTTGCAAATAATCTCTCGTTTGAGCGCCGGGTAGTTGCATCACTTTCGAGTTAACTGAACCTAATTTTAGTTTTATTTGGCTTTACCTCACAGCAGCACTGCGAGGTACATTTATTATCCTCATTTTACAGGTGAACTAGTTGAGCAGAGAGACTAGGAAACCCGCCTAAGGTCCCGCAGATAGTACATGTGGAAACAAGGCTTTGAGCCGAGGTGGGCCTGATGGCCTGACTCCCTGGTGCCACTTCGTATTCTGTTAACTGGGTGCCATCACGTCCCACCTGTGTGGACATTGAAACCTGAGTAACAAAGCCTGGTAAAGTGATTAGTGAGAGGTTAAGCTCCAACTCTCATGGCACAGATAGAAGATCAAGGACAAGATTGCTCAAGGCATGAGGTGACCGTGGGACCGTCTTTTGCTCTAGGCCAGCGATTTTCAACTGGTGTGTGTCAAGAATTTTTAAAACATGCAATACCTGACTAGACGGGCACTGACCTCTTCCCTTAGATTGTCAAATAAAGAAATGACAACAGCCAGCACAACAATAGCTGTCTGGTATGGATGAATCAAAATTATACCTATTTTTTCTGTCAGACCATCTCCAGGAAGTCAGAGAAAAGGAAACCTTGGGGTCAGGTTCAGGGGACTAGCCTGCTACTAGCTGCCTTTGCCCATTGCTTCATGCCCCCTGTTCATTGAAATTGCTTCCATTTACTCTGTCCAATTTGGTCTCTCACCCCATTACTTTGGGGAAACTGCTCTTTTCCAGGTTATCAATCAGTTCCACATTGCTAAATCTAGTGGCCATCTTTCCCCCTCAGTAGCAGTTGACACACTTGACCAATCTCTCCTTGAAACAGTCTTTCAAAACACACCATTCTCCTAGGTTTCCTCCTACTTTAATAGTCTTGTTTCTGGGTTCTCTTTCTGAAACTCTTATCCTTTTTATATTAGTGTCTATAGTTTCAGTCCTTGGCCTGCTTTTCTTCTCTCTATTCCTTCCTAGGTAATTTAATCTCTCCCATGATTTTAAGTAGTATGTCTATGCTGAGGATTCTCAAAGCTTTCTACTTTTTTTTTTTTTAATGATTTTTTTTTTTTTTTCCTTTAGAGAGAAAAGCATTAATGAGAGAGAAACATAGATTGGCTGCCTCCTGGAGGGTTGAGCCTGAAACCTGGGCATGTGCCCTGACAGGGAATGGAACCTGTGACCTCTTGGTGCATGGGACTATGCTCAACCATACTGGCAGGGCAAAGCTGTCTACTCGGAATTTTCCATCTCTATTGCTGCCACTCTTGTCCATGCCTCTGTAACCACTAGTTTACACTCCCACAGTAGCCTATAAACTGGTCACCTTGCTTGCACTCTTGCTTCCTTATAGCCCATTCCTAACAGAAGAAACTTTACCAAGGCCTCCAGTGATAGTGTCCTGCCTTTTCAACCTCATCCTTTGTTGTCTGCTCTTCCTTACTATATTCATTACACTGGTCTACCCAGTTTCTCAAATGCGCCAAGTCCATGCTCACCAGGGACCTGTGTACTGGTTTCCTTCTGAAACTCCTCCTTGGCTCTTATATGGCCAGCTCTTTTAATCCTTCGCTCCTCTGCTCAGTTTTATTCTTTCTGAAAGGCCTTCCCTCACTATTGTGTCTGAAATGGTGCTTCTTGCCTCACTCTCAAAACCAAATATCACAATGTCTAATTTTCACATTTATTTATATATTTTTCCATTTGCTAGAATATAAACTGTTATGCAGCATCTTGTCTGGGGTGTCTGACTATATAATAATGCTTAACAAATATTTGTTAAATGCAATTAGAGGTGGAAACAATGAAAAAGATGGGATAAATAAAGGTTGCTTGGCCTTTTTTGGAGAAATTAGGTAAATTTCTACTTTAGTAATTGAATTAATTTTGTAAGTATCCTTTCTCTGTTTATCCTCTGTAACTTGTGCTGTGAAAGACGATTATTTAATTACTAAAATTAAATATAACATATCCATTTGTTTTGGTAAATGTCAATATTCAGGTCATGACAAAGAACTGCAAGAGGTCTTGGGAGATTACTTTCAGACCCAGTAGTTCAATCTCCTTATTTCTATTTAAGAAGATAGTACTGTAGTCACATGACTTTGTGTTTTCAAAGGGTGAACTAGACAACTGGTTGTAAATGCTTGCTATGAAGAAAAAAGTGGATGGTTACTAAAACACCTCTGACTTAAATTAAGTAACTAAAATCTTCTCAGTTTTGCCAAGAATGCTTAAATAGAATTCTATAAAACTAGATATGATTATATCAGCTATATGACATGTTTTATCTATTTTACTAATACCTTTTATAAATATTGCTTCCTCAGTGATGGCTCACGAAGCAATGGAATATGATATTCAGGTGCAGTTAGATCATAATGCTACAGAACAGCCTGCTCCGGCTGAAGTTGTCAGCAGCCAAGGGGAACCACCTCTGCTTCAACCTGCTCCTGCTGAAATAATCAACAGCAACGGGGAACCACACTTAGTGCAACCTGCTCCACAGGTGTCCATTGACCTAACAGAGGAAGTGGAGCTCTTGGGAGAAGAGAATGTGGAGAACATCAATCCAGAAGCTTCAGAGGAGCATGGGCAGGGATCTGATGCTAACAGCACCGTCCGAGTGGCTTCATTGGAGTCAATGAGCAGCTTCATTAATGGGCTACAGAGACTGCATGGCATGCTAGAATTCCTGAGACCACCTTCAGACTACAGTGTGGGGCCAGTGAGAGCAAGGAGGAGGAGGAGAGGGACTTCTTCACGCGGAGCAAGAGCCGGAGGGTCTCAGAGGACGGACAGTGCCAGGTATATAGTAATGTATGGGTTGTGGTATTAGTACCAGATTGGGAATTATGAACCTTAGGCTCTGGTCATAACCCCAGTGCTGCTGCTGCTAAGATAGGCATTGTCACTTATGGCAAATCAGTTAACTTTTCTGAACCCCTATTTCCTCACAGGTCAGATGAAAATAAAAGTGATTGCCTTATTTCCCTAACAAAGTAATTAAGGGGATATATGATACTTATTTGCTTTTTTGTAATCCTCACCTGAGGACATGCTGAGAGAGAGGAAGAGAGAGAATCATCTGTTGCCTTCTGAACATGCCCAAACTGGGCATGGAACCCACAAGCCAGGTATGCCCTGACCCGAAATTGAACCGACAACCGTTCAGTGCACAGGACAATGCTCAACCAACTGAGCCACTCCAGCAGGCAAGGGATAAGTTATGCTCAGATGCTTTGAAAATTCGATGGTAGTTTGTTGGCAGTGGCTTCTGTAGAGGCTGGCTCTTTAGACATTTGCATCCTGTGTATCAAAAAAAGTATTTAACTTGCAAGTTCACTCCACTCACCCAAGATCTATTGTGTATTGGCACTCCACATAGTGGTGCAGGCTGGATTTAAAGAATCTTTATGAAAAGTAGAATGTAAATTAAGAGCTTATCTGACTAAGCGGGAAGCATTCCAGTCCTCCTCACCTAAGACTATGTTGAAGAGTTGAAAATTTTCTTTCATGGCTTTTGGGTTGAACTTACCTCTTGAAGGGCTTAGCTGTCAAGTCTTGACAGGGTTATTATGAAGAATAACAATTGTCTATGTCTTGTCTGTTTTTAACTTCCTCCTACTTTATTTGAAAGACATTATTTCACATTTGGTCTTTGAAATATTTTCATTTTTAAAGAGGTTGAATTCATTTTATGGACCCCAAAAGTGTTTTGGTCAGGGTCTCTCTACTTCCTCTGCAGTAGCACAGAGGAAGTAGAACTGGTATTGGAACCTGGATTGGACTCGTTTTTTATAGAGAGATAGAGGGAGCTTGGAGCAGAGCCATTATTTTCTTAACACTGTAAGAATAGTGAGATACTAAAAAACAGTGGCTAGGCCATCTGTTTATCTGTTTTACAAATGAGGAAGTTGATGGGATAATTTGTGATTTGACTGGGGTAACTCTGGAATTGGGATTGTGCCTTCGGTTTCAGGATTCAGCATCCTTTTCCATGGATCCTGCTGATTACTGAAGCAGGGCCTGCTATTAATGTGGCTCCAGTCTCTGTAGTACCTGGTCACTTCTGGATGTGACCCATCAAAAATGGTGGGTGTCTAGTTCTGTATTGAACAAGAGTTACAAATGCATGTAACTGTTATTTTAAGGTGTCATTCCCTCGGATTATGAAAGCAAAATAAGATTTCACACATTTGTGTGATAGGTGATGGTACCTTGTAGTATAATTTGGGGCCTCTGTTGAAGAGAGTAAGTGGGCTGAGAGTTGAGAGTGGTGTCCCCAGGTATTGGCCGACCAAAAAGCCTCTCGGAGTATTCCTCAGCCTTGGTTGTTCATACACTCAGTTGGGGGACGAGGATTTGAGTGCTCTTGGTGGGGCACACTTACTTGTGTTAACCAATTCACAGGAGAATGATACTTATAAACCAGGTGCCAATTTATAGAGAGAAATAGAAACTCTACGGAGACCAAATTATCTTGTTGGCATGCTCAGCATGATTCTCCCAGAAGATATTTACACACAGAAGCCAAACAATAAGAAAATTGCTGATGTATGTAGAATCTGTGCTCAGGTTACAGAATTTAGGTGTTGAAAGATGTTAGTCAAGCTATTTGACTGACAGTCGTATGTTTCCACAAAGTGGAATAAACCTAAAAGGCCAGGTACTGGGTAATTCTGTGTAAAGAACATGGGTTCTGGAGTTAGATTATAACTTCTTTCCCTTAAATACTGTGTTGTAAGCAAGTTCCACATTAAATTTACATTAAAATATATGCTTTTCCAGGACTGATTGCCTCATACCTTCTGAATTTCTTCACATGAATTTCTCATTATATTGTTTGGCATTTACTCCCTGACAGACTTTCCCTAGGCCAGATGGTGAGAGCCTGGGTCAAGATGAGCAGCTTTTGCCTCAGAATTTTATAACACTCCACCATATGAGAGACTGAACTTTGCCTTGGAGATACATTGGTGAACAGGACAGATCAGGGTACCTGGTCTCATGGAGCTTATGGAATCTAGGACTACAGAGGTTAAGCAAAGGTCAAGAGTTTAACATACTATTATTTCAGAAATGATAAAGGGCATTATCAAAATAACACAGGGAAAGAGGAGCATTTCTTTGGTTTCACAGTTGCACTCCCAAAGAAAAATCCCTAGCGCTGCTCCTTCTTGTTCTTCATAGTTTTCCTTTCCTATGTCTTGACCTGACCTTGGAAATACCTGTTCTGCTATGTAAAAGCAGTACTAATGAGTAACTTTTTTAAACAAGTCAATCACTTAATTTTTTACTTCTAGCTAGACTGACCAAGAAATAGAAAACTCAAAGTATTGAAATCAGGAATGAAAGGGAACATTGCTATCAGCATTACAGAAGAAAACAGTATTATACTGTGAACTTTTTTTTTTTTCTTAATGTATCCTTATTGATTTCAGAGAGAGGAACGAAGAGGGAGGGAGGGAGGGAGAGAGAGAGAAATTGATCGGCTGCCTCCTGCACATTCCCAACTGAAGATCAAGCCTGCAACCTGGGCATGTGCCCTTACCANGAAATTGTCACATATTGTGAGCCATTTAATGTCAAAAGAAAAAGGACAATCTCACATGATTCAAATTAATATTCAAGCAGAGAAAAGAAGCGCAAGAATGCTAGTTAGGAAGATGACAGGAAGATGTGAGTCACCATCTCTTCAAAATGAAAATATTAGAAAAAACTTTAATAGTAACTCATAGAGCAAATATAAATACTTATAACCCCCAAATTGACTTAACTACTTTGTAAGGGTATTTTTTAAGGACAACTCACAATAGGGGAATGGTATGTTTTAATTCTTTGCATTCTTTTAAGTACACAAAACATTCTTTAAATGCAAAGCAAAAGAAAGCAATAACAAAATTTTTCAACTGTGAAATTTGGTCTAATATTATATGTAATATCTAGTATACAGTCTATCTAGATGATGGAGTTTAGGTTGGGCCTCTTCATTCTATTACACATTTTCCAAAATATTTATTTTGTGTTCAAGATTAGCCTAGAAGCAATTCATTCTGATGCCCTCATTCTCTCAAACTACAAACTCATATTCTACATTAGAACATTTTAAAATAGTTTTTTTTTTTTTTTTTTTTTTTTTAATATATCTTTATTGATTTCAGAGAGAGGAAAGCAGAGGGAGAGAGAAAGAGATAGAAACATCAATAATGAGAGAGCCATTGATCGAGCCCACAACCTGGGCATGTACCCTGACTGGGAATCAAGCCCCCATCGCCGGGATCCTAGGTCGAAGCTCAACTGCTGAGCCACGCCCAACTAAAAGACATAAGCTGTCAATACTCTCAAGAAAAAGAAAATCTGAATAAACCAATAACAGATCGAATTAGTAATTAAAAAAAAAGAAATTCCCACGAAGAAGAGCCCAGAACTAGGTGACTTCCATGGTGAATTCTACCAAAACATTTAAAGACAAAATAACACCAATACTTCATAAACTCTTCAAAAAAATGGAAGAGATGGTAACACTTTCCAGCTGATTATCGGAGGCCAGTGCTACCCTGATACCAAAACCATACAAAGACATCGCAAGAAAACTATGGACCACTATCCTTTATGAATATAGATGCAAGAATACTCAACAAAATGCTAACAAATCAAATCTTAACAACATATAACCATAACCAAATGGGATTTGGTCTAGGAAGGTAAAAGTGATCCCGCATACTGTATAGAAAACAATAAGTGAGATACACCATATTAATACAATAAGGGGGGGTAAATGAACATTTCAACCAATGCAGAAAAACCATTTCACAAAACCCTGTTATGTTAAAAAACAAAACACTCAAAAACTAGGAATGGAAGGGAACTTCTTCAACCTGATAAAGGGCATCAAAAAACTCACAGCTGACATACTAAATGGACAAAAACTAAAAGCTTTACCCCATTCAGAAACAAGGATGTCTGCTTTTGCTACTTCGATTCACCATTGTACTGGAGGTTCCAGGTTAGGCAGAGAGAGAGAGATACAGATATACAAAGCATTTCGATTAGAAAGAAATAAAACTAGCTCTTGCAGATAACATAATCCTTGTATTTATCAAGTTGTAAAAAAAAAAAAGCCAGACCCAAGAGACAATATATGATCCCATTCATGACATGTCCAGAATAAGCAAGTCCACAGAGACAAATTAGTGGGGGAAAGAGAAAAGAAAGTGCCTACTTATGGGTACAGAGTTCATTTTAGGTGTGGTAAAAATGCTTTGGAATAAGATAGTGTGGTTGCATAACATTGTGATTATGCTAAAAATCACTGGTTTGTATACTTAAATTGTGAATCAGAAAGGAGTCACAATTGCTACTAGTTTATTCACATTTCATTTTTTACAAGGGCAAATCTTTTATCCCTTGAATTGGATACCAAATGATGTTTATTTTCCATTTAGTCCTCCTTTTTTTTTTTTTTTATCCTTACCCAAGGAGTGAGAATATTTTTCCATTGATTTTAGAAGGAGTGGAAGGTAGAGGGGAGGGAAGAGAGACACACACATTGAAGTGACAGAGACACATCGATTGGTTGCCTCCCACACGAGCCCTGACCAGGGTTGGGGCTCTGACCTGCAACCCGGGTATGCGCCCTTGCCCTTGCAACCTTTAGGTGCAGGGCTGATGCACTAACCACTGAGTTACGCCAGCCAGGGCATAGTCATCCATTTTTTAATAGAAAGCCCTAGTTTGTCATAAATTTTAGCAGTCCTATGAGAAATCAGAAATTTTCTGTGATCAATGCCCAATAATGTTTCTGGGTAATAATATATCTTAATGTCATAAAAACAGTTATTAAAACTTAAAGAAGGTCACCTTTCAGTAGTACTTCGTGATTATTAACCCAGTAGTATGTTTTAAAGTTCAGAATGCATTTTAGCTTTTTAATATCAAATGTTATTTATTGTGGGCTATAAGTGGAGTATGGCTTTACCTTGGAAATGAGGAAAACTGAGATATGGAAGTGGTTATGGTTAGAACTCAGCCAGCCAGAATGAACTGGTATGTTAAATCTCCCAACTCTCATCTTGAGTTCTTTTTTGATATGCTGTGTTTTTAACCTTAACCGGATACAAACTTGAAAAGAAAAATAATGTCTTAAAATAAGAGGTGAAACAATGACGACTGAAGCCAGATTTCGTACTGTATCCCAAAAGACCTTGGTCTGCCTAGCTATAGTAGCAGAATCCCATGAGACCATATTTGACCAACAGGGCCCTTTTTCTTTCGTGTCCAGTCTTTCCAACCCCCTAATATTAACAGATAAATTGCTGAGTCATGTCCTTTAAAATATATTGACACGTGGCCAAAGGGGCCAGTAAAGTAGAATTAGCTTTTAGCAGAAGGGTTAAGCTCCAGTGTGGGCTAATGTAATTGAGTGGAAAAGAGAGTATATAGACCAGCATCTGCCTAAATCTGCTACTCCTGCTTCAGTGTTCAGAGGCAGCGTTTAATGGCTTGGGGATGGCTTGAAATGAGTAGGATTTACCTCCAGATTACATTGGGTTATTTTTGTGATGTTGGTCCATTGTACTATAATTCTGTTGTCTTTCTTCGTAAATAGGTCCAGAGCACCGTTGGACGCTTACTTTCAAGTGAGCAGGAGCCAGTCTCATTTGCCAACTACCTCTCATGATTCAGGGACTAGTAATCCTGTCTCTGAAGACTTGCAGGTATCAAGTAGTTCCGATTCTGACAATGAAAGTTCCATAGAGTATGAAGAGGTTGTTGTCCATGCAGAGGAACCTGGAGCTGCCATTTTAGATGGTGAGTGTTTTATCTGGGTTTGGATTCACAAGGCTAACATATAGAAAGCTTAGACTCCAGCCTAGGCCAGTGTGGCTCAGTAGTTAGAGAGTTGGCTGGTGCACCAAAAGTTCTCTGGTTTGATTCCCGGTCAAGGGCATGTACCTGGGTGGCAGGTTTGATCCCTGGCCCTGGTTGGGGCTTGTGTGGGAGGCAACTGATGGATATTTTTCTCTCTCTTCCTCCCTCCCTCCTTCTTTCCCTCCCTCCCTCCTTCTCTCCCCCCCTTCCACTCTAAAAATCAATGGAAGAAATATCCTCGGTTGAGGATTAAAAACAACAGAAACCTTAGACTCCAAAAGGCTTGAATCTCTAGATACCTGTTTTGATACTCCCCTCCTAAAATGTTACAGATTTCTGCTTTATAGTACAGCTTTCACTGGCCGTAATTATATAGAGAGGATTTGATCTGACTTGCAATTTAATATGATTTGTGACCCATTGAATCATTTACATTGTAATGGCATTTTATATTCCCTTTTATTTTCTTAGACACCTGAGAAAGAAGTAGATTTTTTTTTTTTTTTAAAGAAAAGCTTTGTAAATTCAGCACCCTATCTAGTATTCTATTTTTTAAGTCCTAGTATAATGTTATGTATTATGCAAGTGGAACTTTATTTAGCAGTAGGTGGGCAGAGACCCCTAAAGTATATGTCCTGCTTACATTAAAAATCCTCTGATACCACAGATTGTGGAGTTTTCCCACTAAATGGAACCAGGGCCTTTTGGAGAAATGGCTTTCTAGGTCTGGGATAGGAAGTCTCAGAGATGAGCCTAAGACATTTTATTAGACTAGAAAGCAAGGAAACCATTTAAGTCTCATGGAGTTACTTCAGTAGGCACAAGAACAACCTAGAAAGGGCTCTTAGTGACCTATAATAGGACAGTTTGAGCATCAAAAAGAATAATGAGTGGTACTTGGATTATGGACTGAAATAGGTTAAAATACATCAAATCTATGAAAGTCTATAAATTCATAATTATATATTTTTTAAAAACCTCATTTATTGCCATTGCCATTTAGCGCAGTTGATTAGAGCATCATCCCAATATTGCCAAAGTTAGGGTTTGATCCCTGGTCAGGGCACATACAAGAATCAACCAATGAATGCCTAAGTAAATGGAACAACAAAACGATGTTTTTCTCTCTTTCCATCCCTTCCTCTCTCCCCTCCTCCCCTCTCCCTCCCTATCTAAAATCAGTAAGTAAATAAATTTTTAAAAATACCATCTTTTTAAAAAAAAGAATCAACCAATGAATGCTTAAATAAGTGGAACAATAAATCAATTTTTCTCAAAAATCAATTTTAAAAAAACCAATTCATTTATCAACCATTTCAATAAGTTATTGGCACCCTAAATCATTACTCTAAAAGCTGGTAAGTAAAGGATTAAGCATTTATTCTGCCTTTTATGTGTGAACTGTATTCAGGAAAACCAAATAGTTGATGGAGGTGTTAGGGTGGGGTTTTTTGGGGTGTTTTTTTTTAAAAGACTTTTAAAAATATGTATGTGTGTGTCTTTATTGATTTTTAGAGAGAGGAAGGGAGAGGGATAGATAGAGAGATAGAAACATTGGTGAGAGAAACATTATCAATTGTCTGCCTCCTACACGCCCCCAACTGGGGATTGAGCCCGCAATCCGGCATGTGCCCTGACCGGGAATTGGTTCCTAGGTCGACACTCAACTACTGAGCAATACCAGCCAGGCAAGACATTTTAGAGTAGTTTAAAGTTCAAAACAATTGAGAGGAAGGTACAGAGATTTCTTATATACCCTCTGTCTCCACACTTGCATTGCCTGCCTCCCCCTTACCGGCATCACTCACCAGAATGATGCATTTGTTATAAACTATAATTATCAGAAGTCCATAGTTTACTTTAGGGTTCACTCTTGGTGTTATACATTTTATGGGTTTGGACAACCATCATTATAATATACAGAGCATTTTCACTGCGCTAATAATTCTCTGCTCTGTTTCTTTATCCCTCCCACCCATGCCCAAGGAAGAATTCTTAAACAGAAGAATTCCCTAATGGGGCAGAAATGATGGGGGGGGGGATCATTTTGTGGCTCCTAATGAAATAATGTATCTAGGCAAAGACCATCAGTGGATTTTAAAATCGTTAGGTTGAAAGGTTAGTGGAATTCTGTTTACTAGAGGGACCAGGCTGACACCTCCAGAACTTATGTGCCTCTTGATGTGTTATAGTCAGAAATATCCATACCACTTATGAAGTATTTTTGCAAAAAAACCTGAATCTATTTAAGACTCTAGATATATAACTAATTTGCAGTTTACAGGAAGGAAGTAGAGGAACAAGATAATATCTCAAAGATGCAATCATTCAAATCTAAACTGTAGGACATTTGTAACATCTAGAAAAATATCTAAATGTATATGAAAATCTAGTTTTGTAAAGGAAAAATCTCAAATTATTGGGGAAAAGAGACTTTTAAATTGTTATTGTTAAAACTGAATAGCTAACTGAAAAAAAACCAAAGTGTATTCATTCCTTATACTACAAACCAGGATATAAGTGGATCAGAAACCTAGTTTAAAAAATGAAACCATTTTGGTATTAGAAGAGTGTATGAGTGATAAAACCCAGGAGTAAGGAATACTTCAAAATCTAGAAGCAGTACAAGAAAATTAACATAAAAATTTAAGCCTCAAAAAGAAAAATGACTAAAAATTTTAAAAATCACCTCCTTGACCATTAAGGAGGTTGTGAAAGGTTGATGAAGACCCTAATAGTTTAGGAGTTTGAACTACACCACCTGAATCCAATATGAGCCTCCTGATGTGCTACAATCAGAAGTGCACAACCTAAAAAGTATCTTGCTGTCCCTTCTCTTCCCAAAAAACAGAATTGGAGCCTCTGGATCTGTCAGTTTATAGGAAATGTAAGCAATACACACAAGAAAGCAAACAGCCAAATCCCAGGATATAGAACTTTTTATAAAACAAATGACCCCCCC